TTTGAGTTTGGATTTAAAGGTAGTTAAAGGTAGTGATGATTTATTTTAAGTACCACTAATTGTGAGACCTATGTTGCATGTTGTCACCACCTGGTGAGTCAGATGGCATGGTAACTTAAAACCTGAAAATCTGAGACCTTGAGCACTAAATATGTTGGTTTGTGACAGAGCTTCACTCAGACGACAGAGAGAATAAATCTGAAATCAGACTAAATATACCTCTTGATTTGATTTCTTTGTCTGACCCTGCAAACCTGCTTTCATATATAAAAAGATGCATCTTGGTTTGAATGCACGGTATATGTAGGTGGCGTCTCCTGAGCTACAGGTCACCACCAGTTGACGGTTCTTAACGACCTTCCAGGACTGCTAACAGATGCTTTTACTCCACACCAGACAGACGGCCTAAGACCATTTTTTGGCTCAATGCACCTCTTTGTGACCCAGGCGGCGCTTTATTCTCCTCTGCTTGTAATATCTAAACTCATATCCCATAAAGCCTGAGGCACAGAGCGAGATATACGACTCCAGTGGAAATAACAATGAACAAATATTCATGGTTTATTTCTTTATTCCGTTACAAAAGCATGATGACTTCCTTCCAAAGCACTTTGGTTAGAAAAAAAAAAAATTCTCAAAAGTCTGACTCCTAATAGTTATACTCTTTAACATTTCTTAAACTTAGAAACCATTTATTGACCTTTTTTTTTAATTTTATTTTGAAACTTAGCAACACCCTTTCCATATTTAAAAAAAAAAACATGTGTGATATTTTGTGGTGATTAGATTCCAGTAGTAAAATACTGTGAAAAAGGAAAACGACAAAGAAAATATTCAAATGGTGTTAAACTTTAAGCACTTAAAAAAACACAAACAAGAAGTCATTTTGAAAATTTCAACAAAATAAAACGAAATGAACAGTAAAACAACATTAGCATCTACGAATTATTCCACACCAGTGTGTCTCTTTTGATTTTTTTTTACACTCGTAAAAGTGTATAACACTTTCATGGCACCCCACTCTCCCTTATATTACAAACATTGAGTGTCTTTTTTTATTTTTTATTTTATTTTTTATAAATCTGCTATGGCATATAAAACATCTGTCTTAAGGTAAAGCCTCCGCTGTAGAGTGCTGTGCTGTGTTCTCATTAATATAACATCAGCAAAAGAAGACGCAGAGATGAGGGAAGAAACGGCAGGTAACTAATCCAGGTACACCGAGGCTCGATGGGGAGGAGAACAAACATTTTCACTGGGGAAGAGAGAAGCCTTTTATATACAGAATAGGTGGAGATATGTATGATTCAGTAAACTCGGACTACCTGTTTTTCCTGCTCACATGACGCCGTAGAGAAAGAGAGAGGTCATACTTTTGATTTGGTTCCTTTTTTTTTTTTTTTGTTTAAAGCAGAATCTCAGAGAAGGAGGAAATTAATACAGATACAGGCTGTGGAGGTGGAGGAGGGCTGCCTTTGTTCAGGCGCTTGGCCTCTGCTGTGAAATGAGAGGTCAGAGAGAGTGTGCGGTACATAATCTAAAGACGACCTCTGGCCTCCAGCAGCAGTGGAAATCCCATTTCAAGCAACGACCTTCCCGTCACCTCAAAGTAAAATCACACCCTTCAGACTCTCAGATATCCGCCATGGGTGATGATGATGTTCGCTGCATTTCAGGACACATGCTGTGAGGAAAAAGTGCAATTTGACTTCTAACCTTAAATTAATTCTCCCCTGGATTTGGATGATTTCTTGTGATTTCTTGAATTATCTTTGGATGCCGACCTTGATAGGATTAATATTTTGTCTCTGAAAATAAAAAGAGTCCTGTCTGGACCTGCTCTTTTGTAAAGTGTCTTTAGATAACAAATAATTATGGCTAGGCGCCATACAAATCAAATGAAGTTGAACTAATAAAGCTACATTAAGTCTATAGTTCGCTTATTGTTGACGAAAAATCAATTTTTATTTACAATCCTCCCTTACATATTGCCAATCCTTAAACGTCACCGAGCCACATCGTTGCGATGGCTAACATTTTCCTTCATTACCATGCACATGTGCAATGGAGGGAAGTAAATCCTACCCTGACAGGCTACCAGTCAAAGACGCCGAGACCCTCAGTTTGTATTTATCAGCTGTTGGAAATAGTTCATAAAAAATAAAACATTTTAGAAGCAAAAAAACAAAACTAGAGTGGGCAGCTGTTTCAGAAAAACAAAGAAACTCATTTATATATTTATGAGATGTTTTAATACTGTGTGTTTGACTTCGACAGGAATAAAAAGGGGTCGGAAACAGGGGTCCAAAATGATTCAAGCCCCTCCAAATACATCAAAAGATGCCAGTTTGACACTTAAAAATAATCTTCTTTAATTGATTGCGTTAAAGATTTTAGCCACCTACAAATCACATTTTTGGCCAGATATTACATAATGCAAATACGACTGAATATTTTAAAGAGAAACTCCAGCAACACTGGATTTGTTCTGTATGTGAAATTGAAAAACAGTTTGAAAAGCTGTCAAAATATCTGCATTAAAGTAGGAATCTTTTACTCATTCTAAGGGGCTGACATAGTCGGTTTTTAAGGTTTACAGTCGAGGGGGGATGATAGCTTTGATGTCCTTTCAAAGGATTTGTTAGCAATAAGAAAAACACATAATCATGCCAGCCTATTTCTTTGTCTTTGGTTCTGAATTACAACATGTATTCAGATTTCTGCTGTTATCAGTCATGAACACATCACTCACTTAACTACTAAAAAAAGACTTGAAAAATGCAGAGAACATCACCAACAAGCCTTTAGAGTTAATAGTATTGAGATGTGTTAAGGTGGGATTTTCCTTTAAGGCCTCAATGCCGAACCCAGACTGTCTGCCCTCTCCTGTCCAAGGCCTGCCTCTCTGATTTCCATGACCTAGAAAGGGAGAAGTCCACAGCTGCTTTGTGCAAGGACAACCGCAACCTTGACTTCCAATAAACACAGAAGATAGTGGGTGTGAATCTGTCAGTCACACCGAGTCCTCCGACTCCACCTTCTTCCCTAAGCTCGCGAGCATCACCAAGAGGAGGTCAACTTTCCTTTTATAGGCCACACACGATCTGCAGGGAATATGCCACTCTCAATGAACTGAGAGCAATAGCTGCGTTGTCTTGTTTCATTCAAACTGAGCACAGCTGAAAATAGAGCACAGGAGCTACAGCTCTGACAAAAGATTGAAAGAGAGTTCCTCCAGACTGTATCCGAACGATTCCGTCTTTTTTCTTAAGCACGTGCTGCAAATAGACTCCGTCGTATATAAATGGATATGCTATGAATGTCACAACAGTAGAATACAGTGTAAGGTCACTCAGTACTGTACATAATGTGTCGGTGTGTAGTCGAGCCTCACACAGATTAGAGCGGGCATCTCTGACTCTGCCCTCAAATCAATTACTTAAACTATGCATGGATCTGGTTTTCAAACTTCTGACCCAGCATCAACAAGTGTGTAGTGTGTGTGTGTGTTTGTGAGAATGGTCGTATGGCACAAAGACAAGGCATGGTGTGTTGAATGAGGTGTAGCAGCAATGCACGTTTGTCTGTTCAACCACTGATTAAAACAGCCTTCAATCCAGGGAAAAAAACAAATCAAAGTACTTTTGACAAAGCTCTATGAAAACAGTGTAGACTATGAACTATTCATAAAAACCGTCTATGCTACACAGAGAACTCTGTCCTTCCAAAATGGTGGATAAATGTGGGAGTGAAAGAGAGAGCAGGAATTGTACCAAAACAATATCAAATCATGGTAGCAGTCCTGTGTGTTTGTCCTCCTCAGCCGCATCTGTGCAAAGACACGCCCCCCCTCGGCCTTCAGAAGCATCTAGGTAGTACATAATCAGCAGTGAAGGAGAAGATATTGCACACGCAGACTAATGTCAACAGCTCCGTGGAAAATGGCGCAGCGCAGGTGTCACACTGAAGAATAGAGTTCTTTTTTTTCCCCACACACAAATGAACACTGTAAAAAATTCAAAAACACGCCCGTTGACGGCTTCTTTATTGCAGCACATTCCCTCCTTTTTTTTCCTCAATATCTCTTTTTTTTTCCATCCTTTGAGTAAAAAAAAAACGTTTGCGCGTCTCCGTTTTGTTGTTTGCGGAGCTTTTAGAGAGTGCATTTTGGCAGTAAATTAAGTCTTGTTCAAGTTGGGCGCCCTCGACAGCCAGGAGAAGAGAGATGGGTCAAACCGGACAGCCATGATGATGTGTGAGGTCATTTAAGAGTCACTTGCGCTCTTTTTTTTCCTGCCCCACCCTGCCGATTATACCATCGCCGCCAGCACAGTCACATGATAGATCACATGCCAGAGGCCCCCAGTCCCATGCTGGCGGTGTGGCTCATGCAGGGCAGCGTCTGAACCGTCTTGGGGAAGTCGTGGGTGAGGATTCGTCCGTTCTCTCCGCCGTTCCCGTTGCCACTCATTCGGGTCAGGGTGGAGCAGTGCATGGCGTCGTTGATGGATTGCTATCAGAAAAGCGAAAAAACAAAATCAGTCTACACACCTGATTACAGTTTTGCATGCATCATACCCTCATCAGAAGAGAGAGAGCGAGATCTTCTGCAACAGTAAGAGCTAGCAGCCGTGGAGTTAACTACTTAGAGACATCATTTCCTCTGCTCTTTATTACATGACTATATTGCGCATAAGTAGCTGTTTGTGTCTCTGTGTGAATGTGGTGCCGGCACGCCTCAAACTCAGGAGCAGAGTGAGCTGTCAGGAGTCACAGGGTGGCTAGTTTTTACCCTCTGAGTGATATTCGGGGGTGGTAAAGCGTGCTGTTAGCTGATGTGCATCGATGTCCTAATTTGTAACAGGAGGAGCGAAGCGACATGTGGGCAGTGAGACAAAGAGCTGAGGCTTCACTCATTGGCTTAATAGCTTCATTCTCCAGTCTAGTGCAAAGAAAGCCACCGGGGACCGAAAGCGGATCCAATGATGTGTGACGCACGTGTGTGTCTGTGGTGTCTGCCCCCCCCCCCCCTTATTCTATAGCTGATCAAATTGGGCAAAGTGAGCGTACGATCCGGAGCAACATGTGAGCGCTACATGGGGACTGGGGGAGTTATTACGGCTCCTAATTGGAATAGAGTTGTTGTTTCTTTCAAGCCAAACAGCATAAAGGCGCCGCTTGACTAATAGGCTCCTCGCCAATGTCATCAGCATACAGATCAGGTGTCTCTTCGAACAGCTGATTAAAACATAAGAGATCCGTGTACGCTTTTCTTGGCCCTGCCTTTTCTTTTTGTCCCTGCGGCCTACATGAAGAGCATCTCAGCGAGGGGGGCTTTGATGTTTGAAGAAAGAATCAAAGGTTGTTTGTTGTAGATTGATCCACACAGCAGACGACTAACTGCCACCATGTCGCTGCTGTCAGGAGGAGAAAAGCTCACAATCTCGCAGTGAAAGCATCGCAAGCAACAAGTGCTCGCTGTTATAGAGTCGTGAACGTACAACAGTTAGAGTTAAGACTATTCTAGGTTAAAAGCAGTGATGGAACACATGTGAGCCGCACCAGGCCTGCCTTATGGGATACATATAAAAAGGATGTTCACCACGATGGGCCCTGCATTTGCGAGACAGTTTAGCAAACAGAGAGGAAGGAGCTCAGAGCGACAGAGGTAGATAGATGTGCCACTGTGATTTAAATTGCCTTCATACCTGTGCTGCAAAGTCAAATTTCCTTTAATTTGCGAATGAGATTAGTGTAATGAGTGTGGTGATTAGATTTAACTCGAAAGATCAAAGCACATTTTTCAAAGCAGAATGTGTAATGTTAGCTTAACTACTGAGTGGACACATTCAGATTCCACTGTTAAAGGGAGGTCATGTAAATCAAATATTCAGACAATTTGATGAATTCAAGAATGTTCTTTAAGAGACATCCAAATGTAACTTTAAAGAAAAGACTTACGTGTAATGCTATATGCTAACCCTGGGATGCTAACATAGATTATATGAGTGTTAGCAGTGTAGTGCTAATGTATCAGCTAATCTGCTAGAAATGAAAACTCACACAAAGAAAAACAGGCATGAGGGCAATTTTAAAATCAAGTGATCAACAAGACTGTAGGAAACCAGTAGACGTAAAGACGTGAGCGGAAGAGGTAGAGAGAGGAACAGGAGAGCGTTTGCACAGCGGTGGAAGCCGTGACAGGCCCTACTGTGATCACGGTTAGATGGGCAGGGGGTGAGGAGGCGGATGTCATCATCATCATCATCATCATCATCATCATGGATTACAGCGTTTCCTACCCCGTGGCTGTGCTCTGCCCTTATATCTTAACAGTGTTGTTGGCGTACAGGCCGTAGCTCTGCAGCTCTGTGTAGGGGGCGCTAGCACCACTGTCTAAGGCTGAGCAGTGAAAGGCCTGAGCGGCTGAGGCAGCAGCAGCTCGCGCAGTGGACACCTTCATTCGGCGCGACTCGGTCCGGGACTTGTAGCAGAACTCCACCAGCGCCACCAGCATGGCCAGGCCCAGGCCGCCGATCAGGATGTAGAAGACGCCCGCCACGTTGCTGAGGCTCAGAGCGCTCGTCTTGTCCTGCAGAGGTCGCAGAGGTCAGAGGTCAGGAGGGAAAGTGGCTTCAAAACAGACTTCAAACAAACTAATGTCTAAAAACTGAAGACAAACACACTGACGTACACACATAGTTTCACAAACAAGCGAGGAATCAACCATTCACACTAAAGTGTACACATTCACACATTCGCACATACACACACAGTATACACACACAGTATACACACACAGTACACATCCTAGTCAGGCTAATTAAGAGCACACATAGACAAAGTACAATCATGTCCAGTACAGGACTAGAGGACAAGATACACACATATTTCATACAATACATAAATAAATATAAACGTTTTAGAGGCCTGTCTCACAAAATCAGGAATAAATATGCTAAAATATACTTTAAATCCAACTCTGACTCCTCCGATTGATTCAAAAAATGCAAGAGTTCAAGCCAAGTACTAACAATAGAAAACAAACCTTGAAGAAACTGTCTTTCAGGCATCCAGTTAGAAATGTATCAAGTGAGGCAAAACATTTTCAACACCCCTACGGGATTCAAGAAGGGACAAAACAGTGCCATCATATTTAACTTAACGTAAGAACGTAAGAGCACTGTGAAAGTTAATGTAACAGTGTTTTTCTTTATAGCTCTTTATGTCATGTATTATATCAGAAAATGTGCAACAAATAGCTGATACTCACTAACGCTGTAAAACAGTAAGTAGGTGGTGGGAAACCAAACATCACTTTTTGCTTTTATTGAACACTCGTTCAACGTTTGGCACATTTTACCAAGTCCATTGATAAAAAGTATATCATAAATAATTATGTAGTACACCTCCCGGGTGCCAAACTGGCTATAAACCAGGGCATCTCACAAACCAGCAAGCACAGTGGGTGGTTGGAGAAGCCAATAGTAAAATGTACTATTGCATATTAATTGTATTGGATTCCTTTCAGTTAAGTGTAGACTGCTTGACTCATATATTTCAGCACTACAGGAGTAGATAATACGCAGCGACTTCATGAGGACCCTGTCATAAATAAGACATAATCTAACTGTGCCCAAATAACACACAGTGATCCGAGGTTTTCAATTAAAAAAGGGAACACTGAAAATTGGCTCCCATGATTTATGCAGGCTGCTGTTTGGTCAGAGGCCTTTATCAAGTCTTTTTCAATTTCACAAATCATACTCCTACAGTGCTCCTCTGCATGTATGAGCCAACATTAATGAAACATTTTAATGTTGTCTTTTTATATATTCTTCCTTGGAAAGCATCCAACGCAGTGTATAAAAACTGAACGGATGGTTTTTGTGCTGTTAGCATCTTTGTTCCCATATTTCATAGAAATAAGAGATGTCCCACTGGAAGTTGTGATGTTTAACTGACTATCAGCACTAAGATCACAGCAGTGCTGATATCCAGGAAAACATATCGACCTTGAGTCTCATATTGCTTTTAAAATGTCACATTAAAATGTTTTTGCTCTGCCATAACTGATACTGACCTGTTGCTAGGCAACTCAAACATTCTCCAGCATTCTTGCAACTTTCTTAGTGTCCATGGTAACCAAGGACCAGCTACTTATTATTAAGAACATGTTTTTGAATGTTTAATTTGTTCAAGCAGCAAGTTTAATTATGTTCTGCGAGGCTTTCAGTACATGCAAGAGACAAACTCTGCACGCTGTAATGTTTACTTTACGCTGGTTCCTGTGATGTTGTACTCGATATCAGAGCTCATTCCTCTTGTCCAATCAGAAAACTCGATCAACAAACTGTTGTACACTTATACATATTGGTCGTTGTGATTAGTACCTTTATCATTACTTCATATGACTCTGTGCTGGTGAGAGGTTACATTTACTCTCTCCTCATTAAAATCACTGCTCTTAAACTGTTAAGTAATTAGCAGTTTGTTTGATGCCCCTCCTCCTGCATGACGATACATAAATAGCTCTGTTAACGCTGGTTGGTGGACGGTTATCCAGAACCATGTTGGACAGGATGAGTGAAACCTTTACCTTTCAAAGAGAGCCTGACTGTACTGAACTCATTTTGTGAGACAGGCCCCAGATAATAAAAACACAGTGATCTAGAAATCGATATATTTAGAGGATTCTAAACATTTTCAACAATGCCTTTAGTTACCCCTCATAATATGAAGTATAGTTTATAACCATACATATGACTATTTTTCCAAAATCACATTTGAAAAAGGGCAGAAGAACAGGTAAAGTGCATAAACAACAAACCACAACACATGCATTCATGCAGCAACGGCACAAACACGTATTCAGCCTTACATTACTCCACATTATGGGTCATTATCTATCACGGTGGTGCCTATTTATCTAACATTATCATTTGAGTCAGACAAACTAAAGGATTCTCATGTAGTAACGGAGTCTAATGAATTATGTTATTTTATGTAAATCTGCTGGGGAATCCCTTTGAGTCACTTATTATTGGACAGCTTTGTCTCTGTTGAATGATTTACAGTTAGTAATGCCTCTTGCCTTTGAACATCTGATTTGTTTGGTCCACTTTATAAATCGTTTTTAACCCAAAGAGCACATTTGTATCTCTGTAGTTATGCTGTATTTTATCTGCATGGGTTATCCTGTCATTAGGGAGCATGTGTCATTGAAAGAAAGTCTCTATGCAACGATGTGTCAAACTATGTGCTATGGAGGAACAAAAGTTTGCAGAGTTTGCAAGAACTTATGAATTTCTCTCTGTTCTGAATGTAACCACAAAGATCCATTCAGATTCTCCTATTGACCTTTTGTCTTTGTCATCATTTGTAAAATTAAACATACAATCAAATAAAAGCAAATGGATTAGTGAAGTGTCCCTTCACAGAGCTAGTGACTGTCTAGAGCAGGGGTTCCCAAACTTTGCCATGCCAAGGAACCACATATAGCCTCTGATAGAGACCCCCTCAGGGACCCCCTCCTTTTCATTTTACCATGAAAATATTCTCATTGAGATACAGGTTCTCTTTTTCAAGAGAGTCCTGGTCATCAATATTGTATTGTATTGATTGTATAAACTATCCCCACTAGCCCCCTCTGGTCAGGACCCCCCACTTTAACAAACAGAGAGTTCAATTGAAGTTGTTTTGCAAGAGTCGAGAGTTTTGAAGCAAAGGCAAGAAATCGTAGCAACATAAAAGCATTTTAGGATTGTAGGTACCACTCCATCTTGAGTGGCAAATTTAAAGATTATTAATATGATCAACAGCATTGCTATCCCTTTATGGTATTATTAAACTAAAGCCTGCAGGAAGTTTGAAATGTTAACATATCGATTGGAAATATGGAAAACTAAAAACTGTAACAAGGAAATAGTACAAAGCCTATGTGGGTAGATTTCAAGCTAAGAAACATATATGAATGCATTTCTGATTATATTTTCTGTAAAGGGATTGAAAAGTAAAATACACTTCAGCCTCGTTCAGCTGCACACTAAAGATGTTCTTCACGTGCATCTGACTGTGTATTTTTAACTTGAGCTCTCCTTAATGGAACTCCTTTGAATGTTTTGCTTGGTCAAAAGCACTCAGAAAATATCTTGTCTCCCTATGTTCCCACAACACTGAGCCCTTCATAGCAAGTGGTTTGACACTCGTGCATTCAGAGTTTCAAAGTTTCAGCAAGAGAGAGGAAGATGAAGTGTGGTGACAGGATCAGAAGGCCAGCTGACATTTTAAATATGTACAGCGATGAGTGAAAGCTTTTGTGTCAGGGAGAAGTAGCCTACTTCCGGAAACAGTGTTGATTATGTGAAGTGCAAATCCATGCAAGCCACAGCGGAAGACTTGGGTTGATTTAGCAGATTGACAGGGTTTGCATCGATACATGTAAACTCTGCAGTGAAGGAGTTGGAACAGAGTTGTCAAACGAGCCAGATTGCAAAGGTGATGCGAGGGCTCTTCAATGTGATCATCTGTTCCCCCTCATATTCTCCTGTGTTCCTTCTTCCTTTTGTCTCTCACTGGGAGAGAGTTGTCAATACGCAGTGGATTATTATTCAAGTTAAACCTCTAGCACAAACTGAAGGTACTCATCCGTGTATGCACGTCTGAGTGTGTGTGTGTCTGAGTGCGTCTGAAGGTTTTGGCAGTCTATTTTCATAGGATTATCCCTCCTAGATTGTAACTGTAGTCACTAAGTGTAAAACAAACCATTGTAACAATCCTGACTAAGCCACCACACAATATTTATGTACACACTGGCAATGAACATCAAATCTCTCACAACACAAGCTCATCAGCGGGAACAATCAGACACCAGAGTACCATCGGAGTACTGGCCCAAATATAAGACAACATTTATTTGTGGAAACCTTAGGCGGTCCCACATAAATAGAATTAGATATTTTTATGTATTCACTGCAGCAGATGTCCTTTTGAATACTTAAATACAGCCTTTGTGCTTCAGAATTGATACTTTGAAAGTTAGCTACATAAAGCTAGCTTTTTTATCATTTCTGGGGTGGCTTTTCTATATTTGACTAATCCCTCAGTAAGTTGATGTTGAATAAAGTATTTAGCTTTTGCTCCTATTGCGAGTAAGTTAGTCAGCTGGTCGATCAAATTCACTTCGGGGTTTTTTCTCTTCTACCTTACTGCTTCTGTATCTGGTATCACCAGTAGCTTTGCTAGCATATGTTAGCTAATGTTAGCAATCCCCAGAGAGCTGTTTAGCCAACATTGCTGTGTCATTTTCAAGATTAATATGACCCTTCTCTATTTGTTCAACTGTTACACTTTCACTGTGTTCTTTAAATTGACAATCGAGGCCATAGTGTCTGCTGTAAAGCCAAGGTTGTAGATTAATTGAACCTTTTACGGTCGACAGCTACCTCATGCTACGGCAGACGATTATTTGAGTTAGACAAGGAAGGGCTTGAAATATAAAAACAAAGGTAAATGCCACTGCCTACATTTTTAATTAATGTGCTCACTGATATGATCGTTATGATTGTCCCAGTGTATCAGTGTATTTTAAAGATAAGCTGCCAGCTTTTTATTTAATCTTTAATGCTTTTTATTAAAATAAGATATGTAGAAAAGAAAAGGGGTTGTCTTATGTTCAGGCCGATACAGTTAGAACTTCTAGAGCCACATGGGAGAGAACTGTTCAGTGTAAAAGAGGCTGAGGGCCGGACTTGGGGCTGGTCTAGGATCAGGGTTGTGCTGGGAGGTGCTGTGAGGTGACACGTTTGGGATAGGGGACTGACCTTTCTTCCGGAGTCCTTGCTGCCACACTCCCCTTTATCGTACCACCATTTGTTTTTCAGTTTGTCTAAGACGGCTTGCTCATTGAGTTTCAACACCGCTAGGTTTACTGGAATTCTTCCAATCGAAAGGAAATAACATAAATAACATATTATACCATGTTATTTTATGTTATTAGTTCATACAGAGCAGCAAATGCATACACACGTTAATGCTTGAGCTTATAGGTAAAATAAAGAAAATAAACAAAGACCTTATTGCACACACAGCACATACACATACACACACACACGCACACACACATATTACATTAACACAAACATCATTAGAAGCATTACAGAAAAAGTGATATGCATTAATACGCCATCTAGCTTGGTGGGCTCTCTTTTGGCAGTAGATGTGTATTAATATATCACTTTGGGTAACCGGCACACTGCTTACCCTCTCTGATGCAACACGGATGTCTCAATTAAATCTTTTGTCAAAAGCAAATCGCCAAAGGTAACAACTAAAGCTGAACAAATCCCAAAGCCACTAAATGGATGCATCTTCAAATATCATTGAGCACGAGGGACTCAGCTAGTTTAATTACTACACATTGATCAATATCAAATCATTGCTGCTCTTCTATTTTTTGAGGAAGAGGAGATGATCCCCCCCCCCCCGCACCCCTGCACTTTTCCTCTGCTCTCAGCCACACCGCAGAGAGATTAAGTGTTGCCAGAGTGGTAGTGCAGCGTGAGCCTGCCGGTTACCCCTGTCCCAACACACCCCCCACTCCCAGTGGTGGTGGGTTACCCGCAGGGTTTATCAAACTGGCTCTGACCTTGGAGTCCCCGCCCCCGCTGCCGCACTCTCCCTTGTCGTACCACCACTTGTTTTTCAATTTGTCCAAGAGGCCCTGCTCGTTCAGTTTTAACACTGCCAGGTTAACTGGGTTTCTTGAAAGTAATATAAGATGATAACCATTAGGAGGCACTCCATGGGACAGATAGAAAGACTTTGGTCACATGGTGGTGGCAGTGATTATGACATAACAGTGATATATTATTAGAAACCCCTGCATGAGACTACTGATATGAAGCAGGAGTGCTGGCTCTAGATGCGGTTGTTAGTTGTGTTTCTGTGAGGGGCTGTGATGCAGAGCAGCCGTACAGTGACAGAGTCAGGTTTTACCAGGCGGCGGCCTCAGAAGGAGGCAGAGCGCAACGCTATAAATGGAGATGCTTTGGATGCAGAAGTCTGTCTACAGATGGTAACTTCCCTTTAGTGGCAGCAGCATACAGATTGCTATGGAAACTAACCTATCGATATTCAAAGCATAGCGGCCTCCTGGTGAATAGAAGCCTGTGGTGATTAATTTATATCAGCAGAGACAAAATGCAAAACAAGGCTTTGAATGTTTAAACTGTCAGTTTCATTTCCTAATCTGGCTGAAAGGAGACCTTGTGACCACTTAAAGACAGAGTTCTGAACATGAGTCTATATGAATCCAAAGCATCTCGCTAAAGTTTGCGCTCTCTCTCTTTCTGGTGAGTGTGTTTCCTATAGCTGTCGACAAAGACAGAAAGGCAGAATCTGCAATCAGAATTTACATAAAGAAAAGCAAAGATTACACCCTTGTCTCTCACTCCAAATCAGCGTCTATTCTTCTCTGCAGAGACATTTAAGTTTGATGTCATTCTGCCTTTCTGGCCAAACGGATGCAGATGAGTGTTTGTCTGTGGCCTTAAGGGCACAAACACAGCTGTAGGTAACACAGGTATCCTCAGGGCTGGTAAAACCTCTGAATTCTTTCTCAGAGACAGAAAGAAGTCAAAGTGTGTGGACATGGATGACTGCAGAGCTGCAGGTTACTAGTTAGTTTGGTGGGGGGGGGGTGTAACTGTGCTGTGTGTTAGATGGGATGGGGAAAATAGTCAGGCAGGCATGGGGTGGCTGGATATCATATACAATAGAAATGGAGAGATTAAAACAGAATATGTAGAAAACATTTAACAGACTGATTAGTGCATATTGAAGACTGTCGGCCTGTAGGGGAGAAAAGTTATCACTACTGCTCCTATTTCAAAATGCTGCTTTCAATCATACCCACAATGCAGAATTTGGGAATCATTTCAAATATCCATTCCAGCTCGATTGGCCTTTGCACTCCCATCTATCTTTACATTGAATACCTTTCTTTATAAAAATGTTGTGCTCTCTTCTTTGGCTGCTCAGCGTCAGCTAATGTTTATGCATCAAGCTACCGCTGTGCATCTTTATTTACAATACAAGCACTTTAAACAAAGTCAGTGGAGGACTTTAAATTTGGATCTAAAGGTGTCACTGGTGTTGTCCCCAGTCGTCTGGGATGCAGATGTGATGTGGTTTTCAAATATTGCATGGACAAGTTTATTTTGTTTAATGTGTATAGTAGGAATTTGTACAAATCAAGTAATTTAAGTGTAAGACATGTGCATTTAACATTAAAGAAGATCAATGTGGTGGTGTATTCTGCAGTACCAACGTAAAGCTTCTGTAGCTACAGCTAACCATGACAACGCTAACACACTGATGTGTAGCAGGAGAAGTGCTCAACATGTTGCAACTTCAGCATATTAACATGAGTACATTAACAAATTAGCAATATCGTGCAAGGTGAAAGACAAAGGTATGTGATAAATCTGCAGGATTCATTTACTCTAATGACCATGAATGTCTTGGTAATCAAATCATTGTTGAAATATTTCAGTCTGGGCAACGGTGTAAGACTGACACTGTCATTTCCTTGAGTGACACTGTAATCATGTCTGAAAAAAAAAAAGAATTATGGACATCAAGTTAGCTTCATTATAATGACTAAATCTTATCAAACTGTCTACAAGAGGAGACTTTTTCACAGATGCAGCAAGGACAAGTTTTGAAAATGAAAGACAGATCTGGTTGAGTATGTCATGGGGGGAACTCAGCCTATTTAGATTCAGTGTTTATAATTCACTGTAGGTATGATTGAAGTTAGCGCTTTATACACACATCACATTCACTGATGTCTGATCCAGGTGAGCAGCACATTTAGCCAATTCCTAAGTTTGCCAAATATGTATTTTTTCATTCTAAATATCAATCCTTAATGTCACATTTTAAGTCATGAAGGTTTGTAATGTTTCAATGAAACTCACTATCAGACATCTGTGAATGGCAACTTGAAAACAACACATGTCACTCTGCTAATAATTAAGACAAAGAAAGAGGGAGAGATAATGGGTGCCATCCTCAGCAGCTCAGCTCTGATGCCTGTGTGCATCGTTGCAGGTTCAGACTCATTTCACTGCATGACATGGGAGCAGATTCACTTCACCACTTGTCCTGTCACAAAAACGGCACTTAGGGTGTTGAACAAAAATGTAATTTGTAAAATTTAAACGGAGCCTCCAAGTTACATGTACTCGACATTTGTAGCCAGCATGTTCTGACCTTTGGCTGTCAACCAAGGTGAACCCTCGAATGAATCCTCAGCGAGATCGAATGAAATCTCTCCATATGGCTCCTTTCATTAAAATGAATGAGGCCTATTAGAGATAGATTAAAAGCTTCAGATGTCACCAGCTCCTGCTCTCTCTCTCGCTCTCTCTCTATCTCTCTCTCTCTCTCTCTCTCTCTGTCGTTGTAAGAGAAACATGAATGGGAAGTTGGTTAAGGTGTTAATGTGATGTGAAGAGACAGCTGCTGCTTGGACATCCACAGCAGAAAAAGTACAACCAGCATGAATTATTACTCATTACATCAGTTATCACATTGCATGTGGTGAAAAAATAAAAATCAGTTTTGCTAATTACACATTCAAGGTGTGAGCCCTGGTGGAAGTGGAAAAGTAGCCGTATGGGATGTGCTCCTTTTTAAGCTGTAACCCTGCTTCGAGGGCTCTGGTGGTTTCTGAGCGGTGCATTTACATTCTGTACGAGCGTTTTTGTGTGTTCGAGGGGATGCTTCAGTTTCAAAGCGGACCGCCTGAGACCGGCCTCAGCAAATGTTCATAAAGCGGGTTTAGAATATAATTAGCAGCCGGCAGGAAGACAAGTGTTGCTTAAAGAGGAAGGAGATTCACACATTTCTACTTTACACTTCTGCCTGTGCTCACATGTCAGATTTAAATGAACTACCTTACTCATATTCATATGCAGACACAAACATAGATGAGGCATGATCAAGATGTGAGTATCTCTGTGGGTGTTTAAAAACTATGAACAAATAAGGACAAGTTTAATGAAGTACTGTAAAAGATGATGCTGCATTTTATGTATTCAAAGTATGAGGAACAAAAATTCAATAACTGAGATGCAAAATAAATAAAAAAGCATGAAATGTTACAAAAAGCAGGACAATGAAGGGTCATCACATGTGAACAAATGCAAAAAGAACTGAACATAAATATTCAACACATGACGCTCCTGCAGCAGCTGTAATAAAAGCCATTAGACGCTTTTATCCAGCTGCGCTGCAGTGGCAGGATTTTACCTGAGGGGGGAGCCCTTGGGTGTGGCGATGCCGTAACCTTTGGAGTCGAGGTTTCCTCCCACCTTCATGGTGTCGCAGGGTTTCCTCTGCTCGATGTACTCGTTCATGGTGGACTCCAGCAGGTAGGCATACTTCCCTTTAGACTTCCTGACTCGCATCACGCCCTCGTCCGTGGTCTTCACAAACACAGACGGGTCGGCCGCCTTCATGTAGGACCACATCTTCTCGAACACAGCGATCTTAGACCTCTGCCAGTCAGAAACGTTCATGAGAGAGATCAAGACAGAGAAAGAGACAGTGAGAGTTAATACTTGATTTTATATTTCAATAGTGTAAAATGATGCAGTAAAATTGCATTCCTTGAACATTTGATGGGATTAAGCCTCGTTTCAGAGATTTTGTGTTTTTTTATTTAAATCAATATTGCAGTATAATGCATTAACATTCTGTAATTAGCTCTCTGTGTAGTCGTTTTCATTTGGAGGCAGCAATTTGATTTAATTCAACAAACATTGAATGGAACATTATCTCTTATTTTGTCTCTCTGATATCACTCACTCTTCACTCTCCTAAAACCTTAGCACATGATAAGCAAGTCACTAACGATGCCTACCCAATGCGTCTGCTGATGCTTTAAATGTAAGTATTCCACTGGTAGAACACGACGGAGGTTTTGTCTTAACCTGTTACAGGACATGCAAGATATTTATTTATTAAATTAAATTTATATTTTGGAGGGTTTAAGGCTTTTAGTTTTAGAGGTAGGACAGTGGATAGAGTCAGAAATCAGGGAGAGAGAGAGTGTGGGGAATGACATGCAGGAAAGGAGCCACATGTCGGAATTGAACCCGGACTGCCCTCTTGGATGACCCTAGCCTCTCCACATGGGGCACACACACTAACCACTAGGCCACCAGTGACCAAAGATATTTATCAAAGAGGTTAGGACTACAATCATTCAAATAAATGCTTTTTGTTTCTGACCCTAAAGAATTCTTTGGTCGAGCCGGCGTCCAGTGTCCCATAGGCGATCTCAGTCTGCTTGGCCAAATCTTCAGCACTCTCGATGGGAGACACCATCCTCTCCACGGTCAGGAAGGCAGCCAGGTTGGCAGTATAGGATGAGATGATGATGAGGGTGAAGAACCACCAGACGCCTCCAACGATTCGGCCAGACAGAGATCTAAAAACAGCGGGAAAAGATTTTTTCATCAGTCAAGGAAAGTGGCTTCACCTGTCCATGCATTTTCTCAGTTTCATGATTGTCGCTTCCATCTTCACTTTCGACAAGCGTAGTCAATTATACACAATCATTTTGTGCGTTGGAAAAGAAACGGCATCATTCCGTTTCTTCTTCCAATTTTTTTTTTTTTTTTCACACAATCAAGAACAAAAATCTTCAGACCTTCAGATGTTCACACTATCCAAATGACCTACATTGCATCACACTCCCACTGCACTCACTCACACACTCTTCTCTGCATTCCACCAGGCTTGGAGAGCTTAGTCCAATGTGCTGAGGAAAGATAACCGGCTCCACAAAGGCCCACTCAGCTTCCCGCCTGCCAAATTAATCTCACTTTAAGAAAGTTGCCAATATGTTTCATGGAACCTCGCACATTAATTGTTGGGGATTAATAAGCAGAGGAGAACACTTAGCCACTGCTCTAATTGCAATTTAAAATAAAAAAAACAGACTGGAAGATTTGTGAGCAAAATCCCCAGAGTCAAATCTCCCTCTCTCTCTTTCTCTCTCTCTCTCTCTCTCTCTCTCTCTCTCTCTCTGTCTCTTCACCTCTGAGAAGCCAGCTTGAACAGCGACAGCAGAAATCATGTTGCCTTACACATGGCGTACCAGACAAGCGCGGAGGCATACGCGCGGCAGAGCTTACGCAATGAAAATGACACAAATCTGAAACAAAAAAAGGCTTTCATGATTCACCTTTGTGCCGTCAAGCCAAATGGAGCGTGAACATGAAGGCGAGATTAAGTATGGGGGAGAAAAAGGGAGGGGGGAAAGCTAAAACATAATCATTTAAGATGCTTTCCAGATGACAGGCGGATGATGAAAGAGCAGTCAGGGAGTGAGAGGAGAGCAAACACAGACTGAACACAGAGCCTTTTGAAAATCAGCCGGGAGAATGCAGAGATGTCTGCAGGGTGTGTTTGTGGTTGCGTTTTTTCTCACTTGTTCGCTCATCACTGTTCAAAAAAAGGTGTGGGTAAGGTTAAGCTTTTTCTGCGCAGTGAGAAAAGCAACATGTTTTTCTAAATACCTCAGTGCAGATTTAGTTCTGCAGCAAACAGTTTACATGTTTGATTCTCCTGCGTCAAAACTCAATTTTTTTGCTCTTTATGGTGAGAGACATCTTTCTCCTCAGACCTTCTCCAGGTATACATTCATATAAATATCACTTAAGCAAAAACTCTCCAATCATGGACTAGTTACCACAATCCTCCCATATACAACTGAATTCAAGTCAGTAATATGTATAAACACGAGGGTAATACACTGAAGAAAGTCAAAAGATTAAATAACACCACACAAGGGCAACGGTCAAACCAAATATGTTCTCATCATCAAATTGTGTCATGTAAGGAAAGGCAGAATATTCATTTCACTTAAAACTTTAAAAAGTGACTGAGTTCAATAACATTATAAAATAAGCGTCTTTATTCGTCTTCGGTAAGAACGTCGTAAAATCAAACTGCTGTGAAAATCAGAATGAAACAAAGAACACACTGTGAGTTTCAACTATCATGATTTCATCGTTTCATGTCTGAAAGTTACACTCTGAATCCATCATCCAATAAATGACAGAAAGAAATCAACATGCCAGTTATTATATAAGTCAAAGTGGCTTCTTTTATAAATCCTCCAAAAGTGTTTTCTTACTGGTTCCTTATATAGTATGGTGTGTTTATAACTGGGGCTGAGTATAAATAACATCCTCACAGTTCAATTTGATTTTGATTCTATGGCTCGCAATTCAATATTGATTCAATAAAATACACAGATGACAGAAATACTCAGATCGTTCATGACACTAGCTTCAGATATTTGTTATGTGCATGAGTTTTAGAACAAACCAACTCCAAACTGTATTTGATCGTTGCATTATTTCTTCAATTAACAAAGAATAAAACATTAAAGCACGCTCTAAGGTGCAGGTCTGAGCCTGAGCTGAATTAACATCTCAAAAGTAATAAACACAACTGTGATGTAATCACATGGAATAATTAAAGGGCATGTAGTGTACACTTACACTCACATCTTTCATATTAAGTTTGACCGTGCTTTTAAATAGTGCATCTATAATTATATGCTAAGAACATGCCTTAGTTCTTGACAACACAATAATCGATTTCAGGAGTTTCTGGATGGATACTGAATTGAGATAAAAAAATATATTCATTTATAACTGATATATAGTAATAGACATAAACTGTTGTAATTCATCACACAAGGGACATTTTAATCAGATATCAAAACAGTTATCCATTAACTTAATCTTAAATTGAAGATGCAGGTTTGACTGGAACATTATTTAAGGATTAGGATTACAACTTTACTAAATTTGTCACAATACCACAGCATCGCAGACTGGGAGACAAAAGCTCATTGATGAAATATAATGAAGAATCATCTTCTACAGTGTTCTTGAACATAAATTTGGGTTACCTGAGTGTCTACTGACCCACAAAATGTGAAATAAATCCATCCAGTCCTTTGTTTGTGGTCTGCATAAGTCTTACAACACAGAGAAAAATGTTCCGATTAAAATTTGCTCTTCTTGTGATGTCACAGTGGGATTCTGGTAAAAAAAAAAAACCCTCCCCTCCCCTGGTATCTCCACCCATGGACTCCACCCCCAGCCTAGAAACAAAACTTTTGCGCAGATCTGCCATTTTTTGCTCGCTATCGAAGGAGTGATGTCTACCAGGAAAACGCAGGGGGGCTCATTACATTTAAAGAGACACACACAGACCAAAACGGAGCGTTCTGAGAGAGCTGGTTTATACAGGGTCACAAACCTCCTCTGGTGCTTGATTCATGTTATATTTTGACCAAAGCACAGCACAGATGTTTCATTTAGACCACAGGGGACTGTTTGAAAAGGTGGAGCAGGGGGATAATATGTCCTCTTTAAAGTAGCAATATTCAAGATCTCCATTTCATCCTTTTCTTAAACTTGAAATGTTATCGACTGTCATCGTCTTTTTTGTTTGTTCTGTTTTTTTGAAGAGTTCATCATATGCTTTCAACTCAGCGGAGAGCGGAGAGAATAGTACACTGCTTCCACCTACTCTCTCTCTAATGCAAGCCGACCCCTGTTTGAAGATGGACGCTGTGTGTGATGTTTCCTGTGAATATCGACCCTCACTAGTCTCTGAACAACGACGAACACAGCATTTGCAACGGCTTTAACTGAACATCTTTGAGACTGTAATTTACAAAGCTGATTACTCCTTCTTCATCATTTCAGGAGTACAGATAATGGGATTTTAGCTGAAGGAGTTCTACGGACTGAAACACTTTACGTATACGTAGTTATTTCAAGTGACTGATTGGTGCTTGACTGGAAACTAAAGTTCTGCGATTTAATTTCCACACAATGCCATACATCATTAGTTAAATCATGTCTCCTCAGTCCTTTTGTTTAGGTTAAAAAGAAAACAGGAACGACACGACAAGAAATCCTCAAAGATCTAAGTAAAGGAGAAAAAAGAGAGATAGCATGTTCAGTTCAAACAGCGATACATAAGAGAGGGAGAGGGCGAGAGAGAGGGCGGGGGGGGGGGGGGGAGCAGAGATGAAAAGTAAACTGGATGGTATCACCAGAGGCTGACAAACTCCTTAGATTTGACTGCTGCTGGCCTCCAGAGATGGCAGTAAACAGCTGTCTAATCCTTCTCCTTCAGTCGCCCTTTTTTCCTCTCTCTCTCTCTCTCTCTCTTCTTTTTTTCCCCTCCATCTTCTCTGCCTCTCCGCTGTGCTGCTCGCCTGTCTCTTCTTAAGCTCGGGGGAGATGACAGGGGCTTGTTTTGGGCCAAGACAACAATGGCCTACACCTTGGCACTGACACTGATGCATTCAAGTATGCATGCACACAAACAAACGGACACACACACACACACACACACACACACACACACACACACACACACACACACACACACACACACACACACTCTCACACGGAGCATACTTTTCTTTCCTGAGGACAATGTGTGAGAGTGTGAGTTTGTCTGTGCAAGAGAACAACCGGGTCACCATTTGCTGTGTAACTTCGGAGAACGAGAGAGGCTGTGTGTGTGAGATGTTTACATGTGGGTGTGTGTTGGTTCTCCTGCAGCGTTCATCCTCCCTGGTTGACATGGCAAACACAGACCTGTTTGTCTCTGTTTGTTTCCTTTTGAGCATACTTTTCCAGCTTCTCATACATTATTGCACAGAAGCCAAACCTCGGTGCCACGGTGAAACATTAACTAAGCTGTCTCATTACAGAAAGTGAAACCTTCCAAGAAGCACTGTAATTTCATAGTCGTGCGAAGGCAATGATTAATCAATTATTCACCGCGCCTCTTTTATTGCATTAGGAGGAATCGGAACGGTAATGGGAGCAGCGAAACCACCAGCTCAGCAGCTGAGCCGGGGATGTAACCTCAGACATCTGTGTAAAATTAGAGTTTGAATGATTTTTTGATAATTGATTAAGTCATTTAACGAGTAAATATAGCATAGGAATGACAGTAAAGGGTTCTTAACTAACGTGATAGACATAAACACTTAGCAGACATTTCAAAGAATACAATCTGGTTAATTCATCTTAAATCTGTTGTTTAAAGGACTGTGGAGAAATACGTTTTTCTACATTTTTAATACATTATCAAATGAGTCTAGCCTCCTTATGTTAGGGGAGTTCAGTTAATAAGATTCTCAAAAAAATAAACGTCCAACTCTCATTGTAAACTCAATCAGTACTGAATATTTTCAGTTGGTCTTGTAGTCATAGCAACATCTGTACATACTGGGCAACTCAACTGGTACAGTAAATGAAATGGACTTTAGCTTGTATATTCCTTTTAGTCTTCTGACTAATCAAAGCTCTTTAAAAACTGCAGGTCACACCTACACATTCACACACTGATGGTAGAGGTTGCTGTAGTGAGACCATCAGA